ATCCAAACAATCGAAAGGAAACAGTCCAAAGGAAACAAAGGTAACATCAAAAGGAAACATCCAGGGCGTACAAATCACACAGGCGAGAAGCGGTTCAAATCCGAAATATCTAAGGAAGATTTCATTGTGCCATCGAGTACACATATCAGGATTCATACCGGTAAAAGGACGTTCTATTGTTGGAATTGCACAGCAAATTTCACCCGGTTTGTTGTTTCACCCGGTCAGGCAGTCTGCAAAGACATATGTGGACTCATGCCGGTAAGAAGCCGTTCTCCTTCTTGGAATGTGATAAGAATTTCGTCCTGAAGGAGTATCTACTTAAACATATAATGATTCATGCCGGTGAGAAACTGTACAATTGCTCGAAGTGTGGGATGAATTTCACCTGGAAAGAGAGTTTGCATAAACATATGAGGACTCATACCGGTGAGAAACCGTACAGTTGTTCGAAATGTGGGATGAATTTCGCCGATCCATCGAATCGGCTTAGACATATGATGACCATTCATACTGGTGAAAAACTGTACAATTGTTCTGTGTGCAATAAAAAATTCTCTCGATCATGTAGTATGAAACTTCACAGGAAGATTCACGACAACGATAGGCGCAGATTCAACTGCACTGTATGTAGAAAGGTTTTTCTGACGGAATCCTATTGGGAAAAACACATGGAGAATTGCGTCATGAATAAACTGATAGACGCATTTTAAACCGAAATAATGCATTTCATGCATTGCTATTTTGTTGTATTTTCTGTATGTTAAATTCACTACTCTTTGTTGTATTGTTAGCATTCTATTGCTTTATATGTATTGTTTCTTTAAGATTTCTTTATTACTTCTCTTGTCTTCGTCAATGAAATTTCCCGTTTCGTGTCTACTTGCATCTTACTGAGCAACCTTTTCATTATTAATGCACATATGACAAGTAAGTAACTTGCATTCCATGCGTGAAATGAAAGTATAACAAAATGGAAGTAAATTTTTGGCAACAAAAAGGCTTTTCTTAATTACAACACTTGAAATTTCCCATCATTTCATGGGGTCACTCATCCATTTCGTTTGTCAACTCACAGTTCCATTGCAAGGTTCCGCTGAAAGCAATAGGCATTTTGTCATGCATTTTCAAGTAAAATTTTACTCAATTGATAATCCATCGCAACCACTATTTCACACCGGTGAATTGCCGAATAGTTGATTTGCATTCGATGAAAGTTCAAAACGGTGACAAATCTGAGGAAACAGAGAAAAAATCACAGCACCGAAAAGTTTTAATGGTCAATTGTGAGGAAAAAGTTTCCAAATTTAAGAAGTATGAATAAATTTAATCTGATCAGATTTATTTTTTGACATAATTTGGGGAAATATGTTAATACGAATGTGCATGACAGATTAGTTTTTAGAAATTCTAAGAATTGTAAAAAAGGCTTTGTTAGCTGTTTAGTCAAAAATGAATAAATACATTTCTTGACTAAAATTTATAAAGGTAACGAGAAAGATAATTAACAATTCGAAATGTTTCAAAATACTGCTAAATGATCCAAAACTCTGGAATGGAAATTGAAAACTTCAAGGAAAAGCAATAAAAATTTATCAGAACGATTTTGAATATACCGAGAAAAAAGAATTTAGTAGTCGGAATTATCTTATTAATTTTCTATCATTAATATATGAGGCAGGTACTTTCTCGGCATTTCTCGGCCCATCCT